CCACTGCTGGCGACCCGGGTTCGGATCCCGGGCTCGCACCAACGCGCTGCTTCTCCGGCCATGCTGAGGCCGCGTCCCACATACAGCAACTAGAAGGATGTGCAGCTATGACACGCAACTATCTACTGGGGCTTTGGGGGGAAAAATAAATAAATAAAATCTTTAAATAAAATCTTTAAAATGACAAAATTGATTTGTAGCAGCTAAAAAGTACTGTCAATATATTCTCACATTTATAAGAACTGAAAATGTTTTCCTTATTAATATTTGTTGAGAAAGGCTTACTGTGTTAGGCAGATTGTCTCATTTGCTAATAAGCTTTCCAAGCTCTGGTTCCACTATATGCAAATTCCTCATTTCCCTTCAACTTAGTGACCACCATTAACAGCCTACTCTATTTTTCGCTGCCTTTATGTTTTTGCCTCAAGCTTTAACTGATTATATTCTTTGATTTCCTTACCCTGCTGTAGATTCCTTTTTAACTACAGATCTTAAAAGCGACACTAGCTGCTTTTTGTTCCTTGGGTTTTTTTTTTCTTCAGGATAATTATATTCTGTTGTGCCTTTTATTATCGTGTCTTTTAGGATCTCCTAACCTTGTACACTCTGGGGCTTTATTTAATAGTAAGCTCCCTCCTCCACTCTCCACACTAACCATGCTTATTAGGTTTCTTAATCCTCCATAATTTGCTTTCATGAAATCTTATACCTTTGAGTTGCTGTGTTCTATGAGCCCATTTCCTTAGTATCACTATTCCAAGCAGCCCAGAATCAACAAGCACTAAACATAAGCTTATTCACTTACTCAGCCAACATGACTCTACAGAAAAAAAAAAATCTTTGTTTTGAATGTTTATGGACCATAAAACTATACCATTTAACTTGGTATTTCATTTTCTCACCCAAACATTGCCTGAGAAGGTTAGGACCACAGAATTAGACTCTGGGCAGTCCTTAACATATAGTTATTAACTTATAGGCTTCAGGTTCTTCTTGGTCAGAAAACTACTCTGTTTTAACAGAACAGAAATAACAATACCCTGATGTTATGCAGTGACTAGTAAATTCCAACTATATCTTTGCCCTATACCTAAAATTCAGGAGAAGAGAAAAACATCTTTTTTCAGTGACTCTGCAAGAGCTCTGCTTTTCCAAATGGGTCATTTTTAAGACATCTGCATGTTCTTGAAATGTGACTACATAGCCAACTCGGGTCTTTTCAGCAGTCCATCCTCTGCTTTCTCTTCCATTCGACTTGCCACTGGCATCTTTGCTGGCGGGTATGTACAGAAGGGCCAAGAGAGCATATATTTTGTTTTTTGTTTTTAACTTCCTCGGGACTTTGGTTAAATTAAAAAAAAAAAAAAACTTGGTAGTGAAGGGAAAGAGTTAATGAAATTTCCAAAGGTGCCTAGCTTATTCAAGCAAAGTTTACACTTCAACCCTGTGCATGTTAACTTGTGATCCTGCCCATCCAGATGATAGAAAGCAAAGCCAGTAAGTTCCTTATTTAATTGGTTTGCATCCACACGCTGCCCTCCAGGGCTCTGTTTACACAGCCTATCATGCAATATGCTCCACAGTTCTCTGCCTCTTTCAAAAGCATGTTTCTCCTGAGATTTGATATATGGCTTTCATGTTTAATCACTACATTAAACTCAATGCTCTGCTTCCTCCAGCATCAACCAACTTCCCTTCTTGGGAGGTGGGGAGAAGAGCACAGTTTCTTGCTCCTTCTGAACATAAAAGGAAGTCTGTTTTACTCTATTAGTAAAATCGCCAACTACACACGATCGTAGGCAAGCAACACGAGTACATCAACTGGGAAACAGTATTAAAATAGAAATCTTAAAACTCCTTTAGAAATAAGGTAGGCTGAGTGTTCTCAGCTGGAAAAGCCGAAAACGTTAGGTGATTGAGTTATAAACCAAAAGAAACGGAGTTTAACCAGCATACAACTCAGTACACAGAGGATACAGTGAGAGGGCAGCTAAACTTTTAATCAAATTAACATTGAGGATAGAACATTCCTGGGGTTCTCAGATGAGAATTAACTCAGTGCCTCTGCCTTCTGGTTGAAGGTTTTCTTAACCTTCACCACAAAGAGAACTTTCAATGTCTCTTTAACCGAACATGGCCATGGTAATGCCACAATCCTTTTCATAAGAATCTGTAGGTGACCCAAATTTCTGAGATAGATGAAAACCTCAAAAAATTAACCGACCTCTTTCAAAAAGTCAAGACAATCTATAATTTTTAAGTTTTAAAAATTACGGGAAATGTATGTGTCTTACTTTAAAATATTTCAAGCGAAAAAAGAAAAGTGAAACAAATATGGCAAATTATGAACAACAGTAAAATCTAGATGATGGATATGTGGGCATTCATTACACTCTACTCTCTACTTCTATATATGGTTGAAATTTTTCATTATAAAAATTTTTTTGAAACTTGTAAAAAAACACAAAGTTGTTGTTTATGGATTTGCTTTTGTACAAAAAAGAACTGATACAATTTCGATAAGAAAAAATTTAAATCACTTTCTAGGCCGATCATTTTGGTATACATGTATTCAACAACAGACCTTTTTTACCATATGCTGACAATGAAAACTCTCCTTCCTTCCTCCTGAATCTCTCTTTACAGCTTGAAACTCATTTACACAAACTGCAAATGTGGAATAAGTTCTGCATAAGTTGGGTTCTTTACTTGCAAAAAAAAAAAAAAATTATACATATATATGTAATTTTACTTTGAAATCCTTTCCTTGATGGCTAGTCATTGACCATAGTATTTATTTTTTAAGCGTTTTTTTCCTTAGTAAGATTGGCATCTTCCTCCATTTGAAAATCTTACTTTGTCAGGAACACTGTTACAGCTGTATACAACATTAAACAGAGCTAGTTTACTTTCTGTATTTGATGAACAATAGAGAATCTGAACCTATTAAAATCATACATTTAATTGTTCCAATATGCTACCTTATTTCTAACCAAAATTTGCATGATATAGAATGCCAAAGAATACATTTCTAGCTTCCTTTGTCATGATTCCCTCATTTGACAGTAAGCTAAAAGAGCTTATAAGAAAAAATAATTACCTGTTTCTTAATTTGAAACCATCTGAATTCTTTCCACAACATATTTAAATTCAAAATTAAAAGAATAAATAAACTTCTAATCAGTATTCCCCATAAGAGTTTTGAGAGGTCAGAACTCCGTAGTTTTCAAAGACAGGCAGATGTTCTCCATGACAGACATTAACAAAAAAAATCAGGACTTGGAAAAAATAAGAATCATGGACAAAATCTTTGGTCACAAGAGTGAAAGCTGTATGCCAGTACAGATGTTATAACAATTTTAGTGATAAATACTAACCCACACTACAGGAATTTAGCAGCACACTTTAATTTGGATTTGAAAATTTAACATAAATTTTCTGACTTTGACAATAGAAGCCTAATATTTCAGTTTTGTACACTATTTCCAGGTTTTACCTTCAAAATGAACCTAGTAGACTTTTTCATTTTAAAAAGCTATATTCCAGATCTGGAGCCTAAAGCCAGTTTCTGATCTGATGTTTAGGCAATTAAACCAGATCATAACAAAGTGGGTTCTTAATAAATATTTGGCGACTGAATGGCAATGATAAAAAGACATGCAATTTTTATGTAAAAATTCATTCTCCATCAATTTTATTCATTTATTTTTTATTATACTTAAAGATTTTAACTATTAAAAAAAGACAAAGACTTTTCACCCTATTTTGAGTCACTTCCTATGAATCAATAAAAAAGTCAAGTGGTAGACGCAATGCGACCATGTCTTCAGCCTCCACAGTCAATACTATAAAACAGAATGTTCATCTTATACTATCACTGTCACACGTGATTCAGAAGCCCAAGAACACACAGAATAGAAAGATTTCTGGAATCATAGTTCTCAAATTAGGTGACACTGTTAACTTAAATTTACAAACTTCATATTTAAAGAGTCTTACCAAGTTGGAGAAATTCATAAAGCTATACAATAAAAGAAAGATGAAGCTTTTGCAGAAGAAAAGCATGTCGGCTCCTTAATACCACTATAAAGAATACATAGTCCTTAGCTCCTTTGTGAACATCATAAACAAAAACATTTTTTTAAGTAAAAATGTAATAGAATTCAAACCAGAGTAAGAATGTTACTTTTAAATTTAATAAGCGATATATTTTTCTGCAAGTTATTTTCTCCTGGAATTGAAAATTAATGTTTATTGATCTATTTACAGTTCACTAAAGGGCATAATTCATTTGTACCAAACATGAGGCAAATTTCTGTGCTTTCCTTGTAAACATCATCAGAAACTCTGAAGCATATAAATCTCAGCAAGTGACATAAAGACACAGTCAAACCTAAGGATTACATGGCTACATTCACGCTTAATGAGAAGAAAACATCTAATGAGGCCGATATGCCACCATCTGTGAGAATGTAAATTTTGTATTGATAGATACAAAATAATGGCTTAAGGTGACCTTGATTTTCCATTACCCCCTCAACAAAACCAATTTTAAAAAAACTAATAAGTCATAGACAAATTTCTATTTCTCTTGGCTAAAACTCTTTGTACTTTGCTGGATTAAATGTATCTGCTACCCACATTTGATGACAAGTCACTTGCAGAGAATCTTCAGATTACTCAGGATGCTTTGTCCACTGAGAGAATAATATTCTATTTTGAGGAATGAGTATATACAACCCCCACCTCTGCTTTTAAAATGAAACTCTGCATATATGGAGCATTTAATGCTTATTGCAGAACTATCAAGAATCCCAAAGTGAACATCTCAAGTTATGAGTCCAAGCAGCCAACAGCCCTGCTTTGAGGTGGGGTTCATGTTTTGAAAAGAGGCTGCCTAGTCTGTTTAAAATCAAAATGGTTCTTGATCTGATGAATTACTCCTCAGAGAATAATGTAAATAAAATATACTCAGAATAACATTATTAATATAAACATACCTGAACCGGAGTCAAATTTGGTTTCTGACCTGCAAAGGGAAAGAAATTTTTTACATATGAAAGTTGCTTGTTAAAGAATAACTGTTATTTTTTGGGGGAAAAAAGATGCAATAGTTATAGATTTCAGTACATTGGTCAACAAGTAAAATAGCCTTTTAAGATGTAAATACATATTTATTTTAACCATTTCAAGTGCAAGCATTACCCTAGGTCCCCTAAACCTACACATATCCATTGAGAGAGCACAGTATGGAAAAGACATTAACTTTTTAGCTTGTTTTTGAGAGAAAGAGGATAAATTATGTAAAAAAAAAAAAAAAAAAGCACCCAATCTCTACAGACTAACTTGCTTCAGTAATATAATAAAGTAATAAAAAACTCAAATTTAAAATTATCTTCTTTACTTATTATTAAAGATTTTCAATTATTCAACACCAAGTAATTTTTCACTAAGTTCTTCACAGAGTAAATGAACCTAGTAACCCCATACATTTACTAAGAAGGAGAAAAAAAATCTGAGCCCTTGTGGGAACATTATGTTTTAGATATAGGTTAATACTGGTTGTAAATTCAGAAGCCTTTGAAGCTCTCAGTTCGGCTGTGGGAAAACTTCTGTTGGGTAATTATTCTCAAGATGCTGCTGATGTGCTGTCAAGCAGAATTAACCCTGTGACTAGGCCCAGCTACACAAGCTACTATAAGACAGCATTGTCTATATCTAGCTCTCAAACCAATTAGCGGGCATGCTCCAGCCGGATTTATATCACACATTAACAATCAATAGTATATATGCTCACAGCTGCCACAGCAAGATACAAGAACCGACCAGCAGGAGTCCTGTTAAAGGATGTTACATTGACAGAGAAGTTTTTTTTTTCCTGGGGAAATGTAGTTAACTAAGTGGGAAAGGAGATTTCTTTGAAATTATGCCAGGGTACCAAAGCACTTTGGGAAGCGGTGGATTTTTTTAACGTAAATTAGCTTTGAGAGAAGTCATCAAAGGGGGGAGGGGGAAGGATAAGCAAGAAGCAGCTTCCTCTGTCATAAAAATTCATCTTCTCAAACATCGCCAAATAAAGTTTCACCTGATGCTTAAACAAAGCCAATAATTGTAAAAACAAAACTGATTATTACAACCATGGTTATCATAACCACCACTGTAACCTAGGTCCACATTTTTTCCAAGCCCTGGCCCCACCCAGTCCTCATCTCCATCCTTCTCTTACATGTCCCTGACTCCTCTTTCAAGGTGCAAACCCATTGTCACTTTTTGTCCTCTCTCCTGTCCTGGAAAGCCTTGCCCTGCATCCTCTTCTTAGTTTCCAGCATCCCTGAGCATAACTCTGAACGACACTCACCACGTGCAGTCCTGCTGGTGTCCCCATGCGCCCTCCTCACCAGACTGTGCCTCATGAACCTCTGAGGCCATAGCGCCTACCGAGTGCCTGGTGTTTGTACTCAACAGCTGTCTGTTGAAGGAAACTTCTGCCTCCACACACATCCTTATCTCCTTCTTACCCGCGTGAGAGGTGTTCTTCCTTCTGTCTAAGGTTCCCTCCACTTATGTCCTAAAATGCATTCTCTCATCTGCCCTGAAACCAGGCTGGATCAATTACTCCTTCTCTCTGCCATGTTTGGGTCCCCACAGGTTCCTCCTCCCTTCTGCAGAGAAGTGCTCCAGAATTCAATAAATGCCCTCCCTCAAATCTGTGCCCTACCCTTGTTATCCGCTTTGTTCCTGGCTTTACAAACAAGTTTCTTGAAAGGATAGATTTTATCCTACACTGTATGCCTTCCTTTCCTGACCTCCCAACATGTTCTCTCTTTGAACCACTAGGATCTGTCCTTGCTAAGGTTCATCAGTGGAGTCCTAATGCTAAATCCCAAAGCCCTATGCCAGTCCCTCCATCACTAAACCTCTCTCCAACGAACACCACCACCTGAATGTCGCACTGAAACCTCAAATGCCACATGTGCTAAGGTGAATTCATTTTCTTTTCCTTTAAATATACTTCTGCTCTCTTCCCTATCATTGAAGTTGGAAATCATGACGTTATTCTAGTTTTTTTCTGCACCTCCAATATCTGATTAGTCACCAGGACCTGTTCAATCTACGATGTTCCCTCCTCTCCATCCTCACTCTTACCATCTTGAGGCCTATTTTTGGCTCAATAATCTCATAACCAGTAGCCCCCTCTCCCTCCCGATCCATAATCTAATCAGCTGCCAGATGTTTTCAAAACACTAATCCGATCACATTACCACCATCCCAACAACTAGAGTAGAGTTGTCCAAACTTAGGTTACAAGCTGACCCATTAGTGGATTATTAAATTAATTTGGTGGATTACACCCAGTATTTTTTAAAAACTAAAATAGAACAGAAAAGAAGACAGAATGCACTTCACATACTGACAGTACGTGCAGTTTTGTGCAACTTTTAGGTATATGTACATGCATTTGTATTTGTGTGTATGTGTGTGCATGTTCACACATGTGTGTACTGGGCAGTACTACCCTTACAAGTGAGCACGAAGCCTCTGCTCCAGCCTTCCTCTGCCTGTGCCCTCCTCTCCACCAGGCAAGGGGTCCCCTCTTGTATCTGAAGCTCCAAGTACCAGGGTCGCCAGCATTCTCTACCAAAACAGCCCACATGGGCCCTTTCTTCAGGTCCAGTTGTGCTGCCCCCGGAGGGGGGGGCCAAAGGCTGTTACTTGAGGGAGGGAGCTTGGACCTGAGGCAGAAGGAAGGGGACAGATAGAGCAGGGCAAGATGCTTTCTTTACTCTCCCCGTTCCTGCTCAGAGAATCCTTAATTCCAACCCTCCTGGGAGAGTGGGGAGCCAGAAGCACCTAGGGACCAGAGAGTACCCCTTGGACCAGACTGGTGTGGCTCAATGGCCTTGGAACTCAGTGCCTGGCTAGTGGGCGTAGGGAAGGGGCAATGGGCAGGAGCACAGGGCTTCTGGCAGGAAAGAAAGAGCCCCTCCCCAGTAAAGAAGGAAGGAGAGGAGGTGTTTCTCTGAAGGATTCCATGGCCACTGGAGAGAAGGTTGAGGGAGCCCCACCCCCCCCCCCACTCCTCCCACTTGGCCGAGTTGCTGCTGTCCCAGCATCTCCCCAGGGTGAATAACAGTCTTTTGGTGGAAGACAAAATTAATTTTAAATTTGCATTCTTATCAGTTATTTGGTATCAATGGTTTTACACACAGTTTTCCTTCTTTTGGTTTAAGGTATATTTGCCAAGGTAGGTTGGTATATCCTTTCTAACAGTTCATTGCCTTGATTTATAACTTTTAAATAATTAGCTATATTGTATCCCCATTTGTCCTCTTGCTCAGGCCCTGCAAATGTTAGGGCCAGGCTTGGTATTAAGTCATCACGTAAAAAGATATGTCCTTACTATGGGTCATAGACAAAAAAGTTTGAAAGTTACTAACCTCGCGACATCCAGTCCACACTCCTCTGCATGGGGAGTGAGGGGCCCACCGTGATCAGCTCTGCAGCTCCACCTTCTCTAACCCACACTGTACCCTTCCCTCTCACCAAATCGAACTATTGCCGTATTTTTTCACAGTTTGCATCCAGTATCCTCGGCCTAGAATCCCTTCCGGCAGCTCATCACTGACAAACCTTTACTCAACTATCAAGACTCACCTCGGTCCTGTCAGCACCCTGCCTGCCCCATCGCCTCCCAGAGCTCCTTGCTCGCCCTCGGTTACTGCACGGGGTGAGGCCTGCATGGCAATCCCATACCGTGTGGCCCTGACACTAAGCCCAGCGAGGTGAAGCTGGCTCTTAGCCTTCTTTATATTCCCAACACTTAACGCAGCACCTGGCACTGAAGAATTATTAAAAACTTGTAGTAGGAATTAACACACACACACAAATGAATCTGTAAATTAACAGAAAGCCAAAACAAGATACAGTGATCAAAAACTGGATAAAATGCCTCTTTTGAGATACAAAAAGTCATATCCGAAAATTTTTATTCCTCAGACCATCTTATCTTCTCCAGGGATAGCTGGTCAATATGTAAAACATACACACAGAGTACAGAGAAAACATCTTCACAAACTAATTAATGACCTTAGGTATCAGTTTAAAAAAAAAAGAACATTTTCAGAATTCTCAAACACAGTAAAGAACCTTCAAAAAAAATACAACTACTCTATTAATAATTAAAACATAATAAGAGAAGTTAATACTATCAGTTTGGGGGGTAGGGAAATCGGTCCTATAGTATAAATTAATTTGGATTTCTGTCAGATTTTACATACACACAGGGACACAAAGGCCTCCTCCATCATACTATGGATGGTGACCATCTCTACTCACAAATCCTCTTTAAGAAAGTAAGTAAAATAGAGATAGGAACAATGGCAAGTGTGGAAAAGGAATTCACATGTAGCAGAGATTGTACAAGAAAGGCAAAGAGGGCTGTCCATTCACTCACTCCAAACGCATTTCTCAGGTGCTTCTCTTCAGTAGTCTACTTAGGTGTTAGACGGTAGGGATATGAAAATGTACAAAGGAACGTTACGTGGGTACAAGATGCACAGATATAATCGTGTCTCCATGGACACCCATTCTACCCCGTGATTACATACTTACATCTAAGCTTAAAGCTATTCAACCAGTTCTTCTGGCAATCGCCAAAATATGGTGAACACAGCACAGACTGCTACTGTCTTCCAACATCCATTCTCCCTTCTTTAATTTTAGAAATAGAATCTCTGAGTTTTAGATGGGCACATGGCTGCCTGGGTAACACAATTTTTCCACAATATTTCCCACCTCTTTTGTAGTTTGTTGTGACCATGTAAGTTCTTGCCAAAAGGATGCAAGTAGAAGTGATGTGTATAACATCTGAGTTACGCCCTTAAAGGGCATGATTGCACCCTTCCCCTCTTCCTCTTCTTCCCACTGGCTGGAATGTAGATGTGATTCCAGGAGCTAAAGCAGTCATTCTTAGATCATGAGAGAGAAGCTGATATTAGAGCAACAGCCTTTGGCCACCCCTTGGGCTAA